TCTTGAGGCCTCTTTAAGACACTTAGAGGCTTTCCCAAGCCAGTTATCTGGCTTAATGTTAATGGCTTTTTTGCTGGCCTCCTGTGTTATTTGCAAATTTAAAACGAGCCCTCACCTTCCTGTTTTCATTTAGTTTACTCCTGTGGCTGCTAGTTATCTAAGGGGGATGAAAACCCTTCATTCTTAGAAAGCAGCTGTGAGGTGGTAGGTTTCTGATTCACATGGCTCGGGGCAGGGTTCTGGAGCAGGGTTGGAATGGAGTCCCCCTGGACACTGCTTCCCAGCAGTAATACAGAGCCTCCTCTGGCCGGGCAGGCAGGGTCTTGAGATTTGATGCTACTTACACTCCCCAGTGAGAATCTGGAGTCCCAGAAAGGAGACAGAAGACTTGGGGCCTCAGATGCTGATAGCTGCTTGGACACCCTGGGATAGCAGGGCAGACTGTCTTCTTCTGGGAGAAGGTGGGTGGCGCCTGCTTGCCGTGGGCCTCCCTGCTGGATTTTCCACCTGTTATTTCTATTTCATTTTCAAAGCAAGGCAGTTAATTAGAAGGGAAAGCCCCAGGATTGCCAATGAAGAAACAGGCATCTGTGGGATGGCCTCAGCGCACCCTGCAGTCCTCCCTCGGGGCCCCACGGGAGCATCCCTGCCTGTGAGGCAGGCTGTGAAGGACGAGGATAGAGTCCGAAGGAGGTCGGAGCCCATCCCCCTGCAGATGGGTGGGCCAGCTCATGGTAAAGGCAGAGGGCCTGTGGCGGGTCTCTAGCCAGTACCAGGAAGGCGCCCTGGACACTGGGGCAGGGCACAATTTTCTGGAAGAGAAAAGGGAGCACATCTGTATATATGGGGAGATGCCTTGTGAAGTTTGTGTTTGGAGGCAGGAAGGTGATTTTGTGCAGAGTTTCACGCCCATACCCAGCCCTGAGGGGCACTTGTCCTCAGTGCCTGTGATGATGCATGGCTCCAGGGTCCAGTCACTCACCCAGGCCAAACACCAGGCATCTTCTAGAACTGTCTCTCTGGTCCCCACATCCAGTCCCTGCATACTGTCATCTCCTTCTTCATTTACCTCCACGTCCCTGCCCTCTTCTCTGTCCTCACTGCCGTGAGCTGGCTTCCATCCCCTTGAAACCCTAGGACAGCCTCCTCCTTATTCTCATCCCCAGGCTTAGCCATCAATCCACTTCCTTCTATAGCTACAGAGATCTTTCTAGAACACAGCCTCCTCCAGCCACCTTACAAGCCTCCCTACCTCCAGCCTCACCACTGTAGATCCAAGAAGCCGGAGGGATTTTTCTTTAACACAGCCTCTAGCCTCACCTCACCCCCACGCCCAGCTCTTTGCTTTAGGATGAAATCAACACAACCTTTAAGTCCCCCTGAGATTTGGTCTCTGCTTCAGCCTCCACTCCCCCACTTGTGCCTATAAGCTGACTTTCCCACCTTTGGGAATCACGTGCAACCCACAGAACACCCTGCCCGCCCCCCCCTCCCCGGCTAGACTGGCCATGCCTCCTGCTCTCTGGCTATGTCCTTCTCTCTTACCACCAAGCCCAGGTACCTCCTCTGGGAAGCCTGCCAACCCTCAGTCCAAATCAAGTGCTCCCATCTGCAGTCCCACAGTCTGTCCTGGTGCCTTTATACTTGGCTGTCATTGCTGTCATCTCTGTCACCCTCAGGCCCACATGTTGCTCGGCACATACTAATCACACAGTAGATTTCAGATGGCACATAAGTTCCCTGTAGCACCTCAGCTGCGGATCTGCCGCCAGCCTGGGGTTTCATGCACTCCCTTCTGTTTTCAGACACTGGAGACACCAATAGATCATCAGCGGGAAAAGGTAGGTTCTTGCCTTTTGGTCTATGAGACTAAGTGTTCAACTTTAGGCACTTCAGTCTCTGAAGGTGATTTCTTTTTTTTTTTTTTTCAAACAGTAACATTTTGGTGATTCTAGCCTGTGCCAGAAGGCTGCTGCCTTTTTTACCCTGAGCTCTCCTCTGAATCGCAGTGCTGGGCTGAGGGAAGCCGCACTTGAGGAAGGGATGGGACGGCCCCAAATGTCGCCGCTCCTTTTCCTTTGCAGCTTGGATAAAACACACTGGGGGAAAGGAGGGCTGTGCTTCCGGGGTGTTGGCTGGCGCCCAGTCACTGTGCCCTCCTCTGCCTGCAGTCTCGCCTCATGTGCCCAGAGCTGCGGCACATGTACGAAGCAGCTATTTTTCAATTGTTAAAACAGGTTCATGCAATCAGAGCTAGCACTCAGCATCAGCGGCCCGGGATGTCAGCGTCGGTTACTCATCCCAGATAAGCTCTACCACAAACCGCATCTCCCCGCACGGCCACCGCAGCTTGAGTGGCTGCTTGTTTGGGAACAGTGCCAGTTTCTTAGTTGTCACTTACTCAGATTCACGCTTTGAGAAATACCCCCTTGCCCTGTATCTTCTTAAGTTAACAGGTGATGTTAGAACCTAAAGTAGTTGGGACAATTTTTCAGGAGTATTTTGTAGACTTCAGGGAAAGTAGCCTTGGTACTGGTTGTAGGAACGAGTCTGGTCCCACCACTTACTGGCTTCGGGGTAGAACACAGTTTGAGCTCCTGAGCCTCTGTTACATTGTCCATAAGACGGGAGCAATAATCTGCCCACTCAGGAGTCATGCACATTAAGTGAAAGTGTGCTGGCCCGGTTTCTGCAGTACATTTGGGGGTCAGGACAGGTTAAGTTACCTCTGTCTCCTCCACCCCTGTAGGCAACTTCTCTCCCAAAATGACAGTGTAACCACTGACTTATTTCAACATGAAGGCTTTAAATGCAAACACTTAAGCTTACTCAGCCTTAGGAAGACACTAAAGCATTTATTTGTAAAAATATTAAGGTTGCCCCCCTGACGACCTGTTTATTTCTGTTAAATATGACCTGTTAAATTGTATTTAGCAGAGTCAGCAGGCAGAGGAGATCTGGATCCCAGGGGTGTGTTTTCTTCCCAGGAAGGGCACGGGTTTTAAAGGGCTCCTGAAATCTGAAGGTCAAGAGAATTTTCTGAAAACAGTTTATCCAAAGGCTCCCCTTACTCCCCTGGTGAGTTCCTGTATTTTAGTTACACTGAATGATTGAATCTCTCCCCAGTTGAATGCTTTCCTGAACACAAATGTGAGTCATCTGCTGGTCACTCAGGCCCCCCACCCCAGAGCCATTTGTGTCCTTTGTCCTGTCCCCTATGCCCCACAGCCAGCAGCCGCAGGTGTGGCCCCACTGCCTCCTGGCCTGTGCCGCCCTGGCCCTCCCTGGGGGGGCTGCAGGAGATTTCTGCTCTGTCCCCCATTGTCTCTGATCATGTCTGCTCAATCCTGTCCTGAGGAGCCCTGGGGAAACAGGGTTCCATGACCCAGTAAACTTGGGCCCACCCTCCTCTTTCTTGGAGACAACTGCAGTAAAAACAGAACAAAATAATAAAAACCTCTTTAATTTTGTTAATCTGGTATCTCCCCCACTTACTTGGTCACAGACCCTTTTATGTGCCCACCTCCTAGGGAACTGAAGTCACAGACCCCACGGTGGAGATTGCTGCCGCCCACCCACTAGCTGAGCTTTGAGTTCAAACACGTGGGTACGGGCACCGTGATGACGTGCTGGGATCAGGGAGGTGGAGTCTACGTGCTGGCATGGGCCCATTGCCAGGATGAATCTGAATGAAGAAAACAAAGCAGTGTGTCATGACAGTTATTTGCCTGCACATGCTCAGACTGGCCCAATACCCAAAACCCACAGGCACGTCTGCTCCGGAGAAGGGCACGGGTGTCAGGGTGGGGTGGGAGCAGACTGCACTGGGTGCCTCTTGGGAACTTGAGAATGTTCCACCGCTTTGAAGAGGCACTAACCTCCAAATTCCACCAGAGTATGTGAAGTCCTTGGCTCTGCAAGGGCCCTGTGGTTGGCCTCAGCCGACCACCCAGTTCCCCTCACTCCCCAACTGGACCACTGCTGCCCCCCCCGTCCCATCTCTCCAGTGACAGATGCAGGGTGGGGGCCCTCGGCTCATCCTGCCACATCTCAGATCTGCCATGCTCCTCTTGGAAGCCCGCCTCAGGGGGCATGCTGGCCTGAATGTGGGGCCACCTCCCCTTTACTCCTGCCTCTAACTCCAGCTTGGGAGCTTGGGGGACCCAGAGTGCCCAGAGACAGTGACCCCTTGTGCAGAAAGGCCAAAAGCTCCAGGATCGAAAAGGTGTGACTGCAAATCTTCATCTGCCTTATGCCCTGGGGAACTTAGCCCTGCGCCTTTCTTTTCCTTTCCACTCGGTGGAGAACATGCCCTTGCTCACAGCATTTGGGCATGTTGTTCATCTCTCTAGAACACCTGGCACAGCGCCTGGCATCTTGTGGGTGGTCCCTGTATATCTGCTTTCTTTCCTCCCTTCCTCTCCTTTCCTGCTGCGCTATCAACCCATCGTCTGCTTGAGTCTTAAAGTCCTTGGGCTCCAAAGGAAAGAACACAGGCGAGTAGTAAGACTTTCCATCCTGGCTCCACTGGTGACTAACCCTGGGAAGACACCGGGCCCCTCAGGGTCTTTGGGCCCCCTGCCCTAACACAGAATCCATTTTAATCTCAATACAAAAGACCTTTGATCATCAAAACCCACGAATGCAAAGGGTAGCACTGCCTCTGAGTCCAGATGCTCTCCTGCCTGCCAACTGGCTTCTAAGAATGTTTGGAAGATGCGTAAGGTAATGTCTTCCATATGCTAAAGAGAAGATGATTTAGTGCCATGCAAGGTGGAGCAGCAGAGCCCCTGCTCATGAACAGACCTTGGACAAGACGTTAACTGCTCTCAGCCTCAGTTACCTCATCTAAAATGTGAAAGTGATCAAACCCTACCTCACAGGGGTCGTTGTGAGGATCACATGAGACAGTCCATGTGGAAGGCCTTTGTAAACTGTGAAATGCTCCACAAATGTCAGCAGCGTCAGCAGTTAACGTGCATGTTTGTTTATTGTTTCAGCGGAGAGTGCAGGACGTCATCAGCCCCATCGTGTTCGAAGCCGCCTACAGCCTGGGTGAGCATGTGACTGGGCAGGAGGAGCGGGAACTGCCGGCGCTGTCACCAGTGCTCCGCTGGAAGAAGGGACAGAAGATTGCTCAGAAGAACCAGGTCAGAATCTTAAAGCCCTCAACCTGGACCCAAAGTGGCAGGTGCATAGTGGCCACCAGGCAGTCTGGGAGACTGTGGCTAAGGCACCCCCGACTCTGGGCCTCCCTTTCATGATGTACAAACTGATAAAATATATGATTTTGGGGGTTGCCTCTAACAGCCACATGATTCAAACACAGGCGCTGTTTTCAAGCAAGTAGAGAGTTATAATCCTTGAGGTGATGAACCAATCACTTGGTCCCTGAACTTGACCCCCGTTGCGAGGCTGTTTCCAGAGCTTAGATTGGCACGTGGGTGGTCAATAAATGTTTTATTGGTGGGGGCATGAATGGGTGACGGAGTGAGAACTTCACCTTAACCGGAACTGGTGGTTGAGCTAGAAATGCCCAGGCCAAGCATCCCTGGAGCCAGCTCAAGGTGAGGGCATGCGAGCGCCACATTGCCGGGTGCACTGCTGTGGTGTGCGGTGCGTGCCGTCCCAGGCAGGAGTGAGCCTGCTCACTTACTCTGTGCAGCCTTGCAGGCTGCCGCCCAGGCCAGCTGGGCAAGGTGCAGCGCTGAGGGCTCTGCGGGAGACAAGCAAGGAATCTGTGCTTCCAAGCCTGTCTTAAATCTTTCCTTATCCAAGGTCACCACAGATCCAGGACACTGGGGAAGGTCAGGCAAAAATGGTTTTTTGGCTAAATCAGACTCCTGTGGAGGGTGGGGGCAAGACCGTGGGACCACCCACCAGCCTCACCTTCCTGGTTTTTTCCGATGGTTCCAAGCAGCACAGTGACCCATGGCTTGCAGATTGGAGTTGTTAATAAAACCACAGAGAAGTGTTTGGGATTCAAGATGTCCATCAGATGTTCTGTTAAGTGTGATATTTTTACCAAAGTCTCTGGCATGTGGAGTCAGAGAGATTTTGGGAGCATGTGGTCTACTGAGGCTGTTCTCTCTCTGGAGAAACATGTAAGGAGCTGAGGGACGGGACCAAGCCAGGTGTGGCCTCCACTGACATCTTGCCTTGGACTGAGCCAGGGGACTCAGGCACAAACTGCTCCGAAGTTTTCCTCTCCTTGAGGCAAGGGGGCTGGCCTTCTGTCCCCCATGTCAGTCAGTCAGTGGCTGGCTGTGGGATGTGGGAGGGAGCGTAACCTTCTTGAAGGAGATTCCTTTCAGCTGCTAACCAGTTCTCTGGAGAGGATGCAGGTGGGAGGCATCAGCTGCCTACACACATGAGCCGGGGGTGGGGCGGCAGCTGTAAAGGGTGAGGGTGGGGCTGACAGCCTCTGCTACATGGATGCACAACCTACTGGCAGTACTGTTCGGGTTCATCTTTTGAATTCAGACATGCACTGCTTTCAGAGTACCTTGGCTGGTGTGTCCTGCTGGGCACTGATGCTTGGGGCCAGCTCCTGGGGAGTAAAGATGGAGACTGGGAGGACTGGGCTGTCTTAGTGGATGGGCAGCATGGAGAAGGCAGGGAGAAGGGAGAGGAGACAAAGATGCAAAGACAAGGCAGGATGTGGGTGCTTCTGCTTTGACTGGGAGGCAAAAACTGATGTCATCCTCTGACAGTGAAGTGGGAGCAGGAGGGTAGGCTGGGGACTCGGTAAATGAGCCTGATCAAAGCTAGAGGTGCAGGGAGAGATGAGTATTAAAATGCTGTTCTTGGTCACTTCTGGTTCAGGATGGCCAACCAAGCACACAGGCTTATATCTCTGCCTCCTGAGACCCCATTACAGTGACTATAAATGAGCAGCAAAGGGAGGAGAGCTCTGTGGAGGAAGGGGCATCAGCTAGTGAGAGAGTATGGTAACTGTTTGGAGTTACCCAGAGGGCTGGGTGCCTGCCTACATGGATCCCAAGACTACGGCCATGGCCAGGCAGCGGTTACAGAGGAATGCACGAGTGAGGAGCAGGGCTGAAGCAGGGAAAGGGGTCTTAAGTGAAGGTTGGTATGTGGCAGGTTGCTTTTCACCCCTGTTCCCATTCCTCCCTACTTCAGGCATGCAAATAGCAAGTAGCCAGCACTTTCTTCTCTAAAGAACTGAAAAACTGCTTGAGATAGTATGAGTGGGCTGGTTCCCCAAGGAGAGCCTTACTTCTAAGAACTCTCTTCCTCTCCCACTATCTACCCAAACACATCCACAGATTTTCTAATCAGCCCTTTTACCTTACTCTTAAATATGACTGGGCAACCAGAGAAGCCTGAGAGTGGGGGAGAAATGTGGTACATCAAGAAACAAAACAGAGTAAACTAACAGAATAACTACCTTAAATTATTCAGGGACTAGAAGAGATGATAAAAATTTTAAAACCACCCTAAAATCTGTTAACAAACATAAGGAGATTTAAGAATGTACTCCATCCATTAGAAAATGGTTGGAATCCTACTAATTTTTAAAGGGAAGAATCAGGACAGGAAAAGTGTTCCTGAAAATTAACATGGTTGCAGAGGCAAAAATTTCGAGGGATTAGAAGATAATGGTAAGAAATCTCCCAGTAAGTAGAACTGTAGATAAATAGAAAAGAGAGGTAAAGGATTAATCTACAAGGTCCTACTTCAAGTAAGAGAAATACCAGGAAAAAGTAAGCAGAAAGTGAAAAAGAAATTATGAGAGACAATAAAATAAAACTTTCTAGAGTTAAAGTGAAACCTTGTTTTTTCATTTAAAGGGACCCACCAACTTATAAGCAAGGTGAACCAAAAATATCCTAGATGCATCGTTTTGAAATGTCACTACTCCTGAGGCTTAAGGAAAATTCTAAATGCTCTTAGGACAAGGGGGGACAGGATGGTGGTAGTTGGGAATATAAGTCAGCTAACAACAGAATTAGAGTCACAGTAAGTAGTCCATTAGACTCATAATGGCAAGATTAGAAGCTAGAATAGAGTGAAATTCAGGCTTCAAAGTTCAGAGAGAGAGTGATTTTGAAACTGGAATTTTATGCTTAGCCTAACAATCAAGTGTGAGGTTGAAATAAGGTCATTTTTCAGACAAGCATGGACCCAAAGTTTATCTTCTTAGTAACCCTTCCAAGGAAATTACCTGAGATGCACTCCAACAAAATAATGACAACTGGAAGGAGCAAAATGTTATAAGATACAAAAAACTGGGAATTCAAGATGGCGGCATGAGAGGTGAGACAGAGAATTCCTCCCAAAACCACAAATAGTATGAAAATATAGTTAATTGCTACAACTAAGCCTAAAACAGCAACAAGAAAGAAGGCTGAACCAGACTGCATGCAGACCTCACGAACAGAGCAGACCTCACAAACACAGGGTAACATATGACAGCCTTAATCCAGCGGGACCCAAGCCCTTCCCCCACCCCAGCTCCCCTGCCAGAGGAAGAGAAACAGAGCAGGGGAAGGGGTGGAAGCCTAGAACTGCTGAACACCAGCCCTGGAGGTCAGCTTTGGAAGCAGAAACCTACACTGCGTGGTGCTCTGGATGTTGGGGAGCTCAGACAGGTAGAGTGCTTGAGAGACTGAGATTCCGGCCATTTGTGGAGGAGGGGATCCACACCTGCCGCTCGGGGACAAAGGAGAGACAGGGAATCTGAGAGGCTTCCTAGCAGCGAGAGGGCTGCTGAAGGAGCAGGGTTTGCGCAGAGCTTGCTGTGCAGGGGAGGGGAGAGCTGGGCAAGGTTGTCTGGGCACGCTCTGACCAGCAGGTTGGGAATTTTGAGGAGCTTCAGGCACCCCATCCCCCTGGCTGCCTACTCAGCTCCGAGGACGCCACAGTGGCACTTAGCTGCTGCACCTTCCTCCTAGCCTGCTGGCACCAGTTCACAAACCGGCAATTACTGTGCTGGTGTTAGGCCAGCCAGAAGGAGGCTCAGCTTACGACAGCTAGAGATGCAAGGCACAGAGGCTTACACCTGTGTGCTCGGCCCACTGGCTCTGACCCTGGAGACAGGCACCGCAGACGGAAATCAGGAAACAGATCTTTCCTCCCCCCAGGCACCAGCTCCACTCCCCTATGACCCCCAGCCTCACTCTAGTGGATGAGCAGCTCCAGAGACTGGACCTTCTGGGCACTAGTGGGCACCACACAGAAATATGAAACATCAAAAGAACATGGTTCAGACCAAAATCTCACAAACCCCAGAAAAAAGGCCTAATGAAACTGAACTCACCAATCTGCCTGAAAGAGAGTTCAAAATAAAAATCATAAACATGCTTATGGAGGTACAAAAAAATATTCAAGAACTCAGGAACGAATTTAACTCAGAGATTCAATCATTAAGAAATTCCATATCTGAAATGAAACATACAATGGAGGGATTTAAAAGCAGATTAGATGTAGTAGAAGAGATGGTAAATGGAATAGAAATTAGAGAAGAGGAATACAAAGAAGCTGAGGCACAGAGAGAAAAAAGAATCTCTAAGAATGAAAGAATATGAGAGAACTGTGTGACCAATCCAAATGGAACAATATTCATATTATAGGGGAACCAGAAGAAGAGAGAGAAAAAGGGATAGACAGTGTTACTGAGGAGGTAATTGTTGAAAACTTCCCCAATCTGGGGAAGGAGATAATCTCTTAGGCCATGGAGGTGCATAGATCTCCCAACACAAGGGACCCAAGGAAAACAACATCAAGACATATAATAATTAAAATGACAAAGATCAAGGATGAGGACAGACTTTTAAAGGCAACTAGAGAGAGAAAAAATATCACATACAAAGGAAAACCCATCAGGCTATCAATAGACTTCTCAACAGAAACCTTACAGGCGAGAAGGGAGTGGCATGATATATTTAATGCAATGAAGCAAAAGGGCCTTGAACCAAGAATACTCTACCCAGCAAGGTTATCATTTAAGTTTGAAGGAGGGATTAAACAATTTTCAGGTAAGAAAAAGTTGACAGAATTTACCTCCTACAAACCACCTCTACAGTGCATTTTGGAGGGACTCCTATAGATGGAAGTATTCCTAAGCCTAAATAGATGTCACCCAAGGGAGAGAATAAGAGCACATAATATGATTCATAACATACAA